CATTGGGCAATGCCAGGTAGTTTCGGCAACAACATGATCCCTTCTGCTACAGAACACTGCAGGATACCACACTACAGAATACTCAGGCATGGCCAACACTGCGTGGAACATTCAGGTCAGATCGTGCGCGGCTTCACTAGGTTGCGGCATACGCCTTTATCTCTAGAGCCTAGTCTCTAGAAAACAGTGGAGTTGAGTCATGACGCAAAGTCGGAGCTCTCATATCGTAATGCGACATAGGTTGGTTTTTAGTGCAGTGGCCCTTCTCCGCATGACCACTTCAGAGGTTTACACTCAAAAGAGGCAAGGACGACCCACTCACAGAGGGGTTGAGCTTTTAGGGCTTGGGGTTTTGCGGCTTGTAGTTAAGGCTTCAGAGAGGGATTTAGGGCTTGTGGCTTCGGGGAGTCATACCCATCGTTACAGCTGCTGCAGTTCTGTGCCAGACTCGGCACGAGAACTCGGACTGTTCAGATTTGGATACCTACAATGGAAAACTATCTTAAACGACCTGAGCGCAGTCGGGTCTTAGACAATGGTGGTGACAAAGGAAAGAATTTGAATGACCGCTGAGGTGTCCAGGAAGGTCTCGTAAGCCCAAAACCGTTAGCCCGCTGTACGTAGTATTCATCTTAGGGCTTAGGGCTTAGGAAGGATACATTTGGCATAGGGAAACTTCAATTATCTAGGCAATCTGCACCCCTTTTTTCTGCAACTCCCATTTTGTAACGGCTGCCTGCTTGAAACCCTTTGGGAGCATGGGACGTCGAGAAATTCTGAATCGACCTTGCCCTCGGATCTGCGCTGACGTATGAGTCTCTTGATGTTAAAATATGCGCCTGAGCAGATCGAAACCATCTTGGAATAAACATATTATACGGGAAAAATATTTTTTCCCCTATAATATGTTTAGCACTTGGACTAACATCCCACATCCTCGGCCGAGACTAAGCTGATGCAGCAGTGTTGCTCGGAGCCAGCAGCTAATGCAGCCACGGCTGCACCCAGGCACACCACGTCACAGCGGATCTGGATTGATGGCTTCGGGTCTTGGTTTAGGGCTCAATTTCTCCGGTTTAGGGGAGCCAGGTATGCAGATGTCTCGGCTGCCGGCTATGCGTCGCAATTCGGGGTCTAAGGAGCAGGCTGAGGATTACAGAATTCTGAGAACTCCCTGACAGCCATACAGAAGCCTTCGAAATGCGAGCCTCTGAGCTCTACCCGTCTTCAAGGAAAAGGATAACCCTGAATTTCCCGAGCTTTTTCCGAGCATAGACTACATCAACCAACCAGTGACCTCAAGCCGAAGTCTCTAAAGAGAAAGCAAGGGCCTGTGAGGACATCATCGTTTGCACAAGTGCCACCGCTGACTGCCAGGCCTCTTGGCACTCCGACCGGGGTTGCTACCAAGGCCTGTAGGGCCCTAAACCCTAAACCCCTAAACCCTAAACCGAGTCTGACGGAGTCTAGCGGCTTCGGTCTTTGAGGTCGCGTATGGAGTTTTCTGGGGGTTGAGGCATGCTCCGGGAAATTCTGACGGATTTCCGGCTTGGGGGCAGATGCTGCCATAATGCAGGGGGAGTATAATTAATAATTAGAATGGGGTTTGGGGGTTTATAGTACTATAACTATAATAAGCGGCCCCCAAAATAGTATAGATAGTTAAAAGAACCGTTTCTCATGAGGAAAAGCAGAACGGTTCGAGTCCCACTTTCGAGTCCGGCAACTAGGTTCTGGATGGTTCTGGCTCGGATTTAGGGGTCAAAGGTTTAGGGTTCGAGCTCAAGGACTCCCAGAACTGCCCAGTTGTTGTTCCCGTAATTCCCGAGTGGAATGCAACTTAACGTTGGGGCCCGAAATCAGACTAGGGCTTCAGACTATTTTATACTATAACTGTATGAGACACCCAAACCTCAAAGCCCAACTCTAAGAAAATATGAAAGCAATGCAGAAGAGCATAGGTTGTGCTCCACTGCCCAGAGCTTGCATTTTTCCAGCCCTATGCCGGCCTGGTTAGGGGCGAAGGCCCTCAAAAGGGACCCCATTCTAGAACCCTATGGTACCCGTTAAGGGGACCCGATTATAGCACCCCATAGATCCGGGACTCTACAGCCCATTAGCTTGCGAGTGCAAGTAGTCCAAGGAGCTGCTGACTTTTCGCATGCACTAATGGCTGCGCTGCAGCCTCAGCAACAACACTGCCACATGCATGTTAAGTGGTCATACGCCATGGTCCATCTGACGAAATCTTCGTGAATGGAAGCCTACCATGTAGTCGATGCCACTGCACAAATGCTAGTGCACCCCAAAGCTTGATGTCGAGCCCTTGCAACTACAATGCAACATCCCATACATAGCTTATACAGGCCCTGGGCCTTTTAAAGAAGCTCTGGCTCCTTAGACCTTCCTTACGTATATGATGCGTAGACTTTGGCGCGAATGCAAAACATGGTGCGCCCAGTGTGCTCAAGATGCGATCTGCTCAGATTCATGCTTTGGGAGTACATACGAAGGGTTGATTTCAATTCGCTTGCCCAATTATCTGCCAACACATATAGCATCCAGCCAGAAGAAGCTGTGTGTTTGACAGCGCAGTAACACAACGGAGGAATCGAAGCCAATATCTATGCCAGGAAGTTACAGGAATCTCCCAAAACAGACGCTGACGGAGAGTGTAGTTCGGCATCCACCGTATATTCGAATCGACTACCAAGGCGCTGATGACATCACGCTGCACGCTCCGAAAGTCCATGTCCTCTCAAGCTGGATGCTTACTACTCCGGGTAGTATACCATGGTATACTGACATACTATGAACTATTAAGATATACTTTAATGATCGAAAATACATCATGATATACCATATGATATACTATAGCATACTACCATCCACTATTTAACTGCAATGTACTACGACGTCTGGTCTGGTCGGCCTGGTGTCTGTCTATCGCGAGGCACATCGCGGCCGGCACAAGCAATGCAAGCGATCGGTTTAGGGTTTAGGGGTTAGCGGGTAATGCCAAGCCCTGGGTCTGCAAAATGACCATGACGGTCATGGTTCATAGGTAGTTCTCTAAATTAAGGTCCCTTTTGGGGTCCCTTTTATAAGGGTGCCGTACTATATTGGGGACCTAAACAGGGACCCTAATTTAGAAAACTACCCTCATGCAAACTGAAGTGTGCGAGACCAACAAAACCGCCGACAGCAGAGGCCACGCAACTGCAAAAACGGAAGAAAGAAGCCTTGGACTCTTATAGGCTCCATTGGGGCTTCCATAATGGTAAGTACATATGTAAGCAAGCGAATAAGTAGATATATCAATAAAAATAAACAAATAGACATATGTATGTATACATATATATACACATGTTTATTTGCTATTGAATTTTAAACGTATGGAAACAGTATGCCGTTGAATTTCTTGTATGTTCTAGTTGTCTTGAAGTCTTCCAGCTTCCCTCCCTCAACCCGGCCTTCTTTCCGGCTTTAGGGTCCAGGGTTTAGGATGTAGGGTTTAGAGCCAGGGTTTTGGTTTTCGTTTGGCTTACGTTAACCCTGTTGCCTATTGCATCCCGAAGACCGGAGTATGTCGGTCACCTGCAGCAGGAGCAGCGCCAGAAGCCATTGCGAGCCCCGCTCGCAAGCACTGAGAGCTGCACCAAACGAAAACCTTGCATCCACTCCGATGAATCATGCAGTGTGTGTTTGAGGCTACTGCAGTATAGTATGTGGGTAATGGCCGTCGGAGCGGAGGAAATGGTACATCATAGCAGAACACAGATGCGAGCGCGGCAGACATGATTTCGACTGCATTTCGGCGCACCCACCTGTCTCAGACGCCATGGAGGTCTCCCAGAGGCATGTGCTGTACAAAGGAGCTATATATTTCCATGCCGTCATGGATCAACAGTGGGCCAGATTGGGCCAGGCAAAACATCCGAGAATCTTCGGATCGGTCTGTCTTTGGCGATTGTCGCCAGATTTTTAGATTATTGCGAACATGGCGGGGGACTTCCCTTTGTCAGCTGGGGCCGGTTACTCATTTAGGGCCTCAATCACTAGAATAGGGCTTCGGGGCTCGTAGAATTAGAAGTCATCAGTAACCCCTGCGCATTCTGGTTGAGCCTTGCAAACAGGAGCTCCCTTTGTCATCTTCGTCACCTACTGGTGTATGCCACCTCCCGACGTCCTATGAACAAGACCCTGCGTCGCAGAATCATGTGCATGTGCCAGCTAGGCTCGTGCACTGCTCAATTTGGGGCTTGCACAACCCGTCACAACTCAGCACAATGTAACTGTGGCCCAAAACACACTCCTTTAAGGCTCTCTATTATGGAGAAGTTCTACAGGTCCTTAGAAAAGGGTACAGGTACGCTTAGGACGGAAAGTAAGTTCCGTGGTGGATGGCTCATGGCGTGCTCGAAGGCTTCCTTGAAGAGGTGCACCCTCTGTAGCCATGGTCAGATGCTCCCAAACCCCTTAAGGAACATACCCTAAATTCTCATGGGAACCCTCATGATAATTACTTAAGGTAGATTGCTGAATTAAGCTTAATAAGGGGTTTTGGAGTCTCTGGATGCAAATGTGGATTTATTGCAGGCGACCGCTGGTTATTGGGCTTCAGGTGCAGCTCTCTCTGCGAGCCGTCTTCGTGGGCCAAGTATAAATCTCAAGACTTGCCTTTCTGTATTTGTGACAAAGAAGCCTATAGGGCTTCTAGGGGTTTAGTGTCTATAGGGTTCCCGTAAGGGTTCTGTGAGGGCTGCTACAGCGGATACTTAAGCTTTGCGGGGTGGGAGAGCACTTCTGAAGCCCAAAGACTTGCTAGGAAAAGGCCATCGCCCGAGTAATCAAACTGTGATTTGCTCACGAGCTCCTCAGCTACTATGAGCAAGTTTCAGGGTCTAGGGGTGTAGGGTCGAAGGTTCAGGGTCTAGGGTTTGGGGTGCTGCACAGGACTCATGCATTCTGTCTTCTCGATAATCGCATATCTAAACTGCTCAGGAAACGAGCTGCGGGATATTTTCAAGGCTGTCGGATCCTTCTGCAAGGGTCAGAGCTTCTTCGGCCGATCCGACCAAAGGCGGCGGCACCCTCATCTTTAGGGTCGCCTCGAAGCCCACATTTCCAACCACCATCACGAGGCGTGAAGACATCTTGTCTTCCTTGTCAGCGTACCCATACACTACCCGACACCCCGAGATGTAATCAGCTATATGTTGCAGAGAAGAGAAGGATGAAGACACAATACAAGACTAGAGTGCCTTACACGGACAATGGAAAGGAAACCACTGGCGCATGCTGCAGTTCAGCCCCATGAAATGCTCATCCAGAGCGGCTGGGATAATGAGAAACTCCTGACATTTACTGGAGGCCGTAAACGGGCGGTGAGCAGAATAACATGATCCAAAACCACATGCCATACATGTCATTCTAGAATTCTAGAGCAAAGCCTTGGGGTTTTGCTGGTATAACACGACATAGACCTTACACCAGAACAGCCATAACATCTTCGTAAGCCGAAGCAAGCCAAGCGTCAGAAATGCCCACGCGAAAACTCAGGGCAACGCTCTTCAGAAGGCTCGCTTGGCCTGGATAAAAACAGGTCTTTTGGTGTTCTATGACGAGAAAAGACGCAGGGGCAGACGAGGCTGAAAGGTCGGGATTGGAATTGGAAACGGCTACCCTTGCTGCTCCCATGCTTCTTTTTTTTCGTAGCATGATGCGTATTGTCAGATTGCGTGGAAGTGCTCCTGGGTGCTGGCACGAGCAGCAGCAGTCACAGTGTGGCCATTGCCGTCCTCAGACCGCAAGCCGTAGTATGACAGCAGCAGCAGCAGCAGCAGCAGAAGCAGTCGTCGTAGTCGTCGTCGTCGTCGTAGCAGTAGTAGTAATTGTTGTTGTCGTGGTTGTTGTAGAAGTATGGCAGCGGTAGTGGTGGCAGCTGAAGCGGTAGTGGTAGCAGCCGTCAGGAGTAGCAGAAGCAGCAGCACCAGCAGCAACGATGTCGAAATAGCCAATGGCGTCGACGCTAGGCTCGGCTAGTCATAACCATCGGTCGCCTAGCGCTCCCATCATGGCATAGCCGTCGGTGTCCAGCCAGCCGAGGAAGACGCCGGCAGACAACCCCACCCCGGTGTAGACCTGAAACATTTGCTGAAACCAAGAGGACGCCCAACTGTGTACTCCATCTGCACAGTATGAGTTGCGAAGATAAAAAAACGGCTGCGCTCTGCAGGAGCCATGTTGCTTGCCATTCAAGCTGAAATCGTGAAAGCCCTAGGACCCTAGGAGTGGGTACGCGGGCTTTCTGCAAACCGAGCTCCGGATTTTTTGGGTCGTGGCCCTGGAGGAGCTCTGAACTTCTCAAGTCTACGAAGGCCAAATTCCTGCGACTCTGCACAATGCAGGGAACCCTGAACCCTTTGTAGTTAGTTGCCGGGCAAGGTTTTGAAGTATTGGACGGTAGTAGAGTAATAGATCTCGCGCGACACGCATGTGTTTCTTTTGATTGCAGCCATGTTGGAAGGTTGCCACGCTCTGACATGCTGTATCAATCGGAGGCTTTTGGGATTCGGCGGACGTCGCAAGGTCTACTTTCAGACCACTGCTTGTCACTACGTGCCCAGGGGCATAGAGGGTGCCCCGCACAGACTCGACGATGTCGCTCGTCACATCGGCGCCAGTACGGTGCACAATTTCTGCTGCCACATGTGGAATTGCTGCCACGATGTCCTGGCCCCCATCAGTCTCTAGTGCACTTTCCAAAGCACTATGTACGAGTTTGGCTAGGGACTATAGCCTACGTATAGACCTGATCAGGCAAGGCCTCACACAATCTTTCACAAGTATTCATATGAAGTCCAAGCAGCGTCGATGACGGGCAGCGGGTTCTGTGCTTTGACATTTCGCAACACTTCAGCGATGGTGCGCCCCTGTCCCGTGTAGTGCTTGGTGACCATTGCCTCTGCCATTATCTTTTGACGGCTGCTGGGATTGCTACAGCTTGTGGCAAGTGCTCAGCAAATGACAGGAAACCGACCGTCAACATACCTTCGGAAGTCGAGGGACCAAACCCCGTGAACACACTGGAGCAATATCCCTGACAGTTACCCTTACTACAGACTTTACAGGAACCCTTATCTTGCTTGATCATCATATTGACTTTAAAGGAAACTCATAGAAGCATAGTAACTCTTAAAGACTTTGGGCCCCTATACGTAGAGGGTCATACGCTACCCGTTTTAAGGGTACCTCCGTGTGATAGACAAGTATAGGCACCCTAAACATGACCCTAAGGGTAGAGCTGAACAGAGAAAGCAAGGAGAGGCGGCCGCTGTCTTCTCTCCACATGCTAACCCTGAACCCTAAACTCTTCTATAGGGGGTCTATATAAGGGCTCTGCAAGAGGTGTCCAAATATACTGGCCAGTTTGGACCGCTTCCTTTGTTCATGTAGGGGCCTTAATAATTAGACTGAGGTTTTAGAGAATGTCTACCAAAATAATAATAAGGAACACCCTAAATAGTATAGGTAATTTTTAACGCTCCTATATATCCTGCCAAGGCGCCATGCCATCCAAAATCAGGCCGTCGCGGATGTCACGCACGCCCGCCATCGCGGTAATGCCTTTCCTGACACTTCGGGTCTCAAGAGCTATGTGGAAGCTTCCGAACACTACGGCACCCGAAACCCAGAAAGAAGTCAATGTAGAAGCCTCAACAATTAGAATAGGGTTTTGGGGTCTACTAGCCTATAACTAGAATAAGGAACCCCCGACATAGTATTGGCAACTGTTTAGGCTCCTATAGGAAAAGCTAGAGCATAAGCCCTAAACAAGCAGAAGAGAGTCCCTTGGATGCCCACGTTGAGCTTCGGCTGAAGCGCAAAGCCTGAAAAGATCGCGCTTTTTGTGTTGGAATTCAGGCTTCGTGGTGTTGGCATTAGTAACTATGACTCATAGTTACTAATGCCAATACCACAAAACCATACTCAATGAGTATGGTTTAATTAGGATATTGGTTTTAGTGTTGGTCTCGCGGCGTTGCTCGTGTGGTGGATCGGAGTCCGGAAATCGGGCAGAACCTGAACCCTGAACCTTACATAAACCCTAAGCCCTAAGCCCTGAACCTTAAAGCCTAAACCCTGAACCCTAAACCCTAAACGTCCTGAGACTCGAAACACAAGAGCCTTCGAAGGTGTACCAGAATAGGGTTTAGTTTTTTTGCGAAGGGCTTAGGGTTTTGGTTTCTTTACATAAGGGTTAGGGTTAAGACTTCTTTAAAAAGGGTATAGGGCTTAGTTGCTTCTTGTTACTGAGGCTCATAGGCCTACATAGGGTATGCTGGCTCTGGCCTTCGTTGCTGAGCTGGAGAGGGCCAAGGTGCAGTTGCAGCGGATTGAAACACTCCTGGCATGATGCTCTGCGCCGTCAAGCTATACTCAGGGCACTTAACGATCAGAGCAGCGCACCCGAATCTCAACAAGAACCACTGCCATCGTTCATACGAGCCGGCAGAGCAGAGCAGCAAAAGTTAACAGCAACGCAGCAATCACATGCCACAACCAACAACCACGAGAAACACTACTGCAACAGAAAGGGGCAGATGCGCATGAGGATGTCAGTGATTTTCGGGTTATGTGCATGACGATCCTGCATATCTGGCTTTGAAATGATATAACCACAATTCCGATTATTGCCATGCTCACTGTCATGAAGATCCAGACTACACCCGGATTCTGTGAAGGTTCTAGACTCTAGACTACTTACACCCGGATTCTGCAAGGGTTCTATATTCCATCTGGGTTTATACGGGTTGGCGGGCTTAGGCCGACGAGTAGATATGTTGCATGTTGCAGGTCTTCCGAGGCCACACCAGCGCCAGGGCAAGGAATCCCAGAACATGCTGAGCTTCTGGTGCTGTTTTACGACCCGGTTTAAGGCTTAGGCTTCCAGATTTGGGGTTCAGGGTTTAGCTTTGAGTTTGGGCGGCCTGGCTCTTCACACTGCGGCCGCCGCAGCCGCCCATCCTTGTGAAGGACCCTGACGGGCAGTCGCGATAGCTTGACATGCGCTAGGCACACTCCTAGAGACTCCAAAACCCCTTATTGAAGGAACATACCTTAAGACTTATGAGGGTTCCTATGATACTTTAAGGTATATTCCTTAATCAAGCGGATTTTGGAGTCTCTGCGCTTAGAGCTAAGCCAAGATGCGGCTTTCCTTCTGTCAACTCAGGTCCACTTCTGGGCCGAGTCTGCAGGATGTGTTTCCGAGAGTGGATGCCCCTCCAGCCGAGCGAAGCAGGCGATGATTGAGCCGAGATGACAGCAAAAGCACATGCATAAGGTTGAAGCAAAAGATGTCACGATCATTTCGACCCGGCTCGCAATGCGAAGGCAAAACGATGGAAACGGTCCGATGCGATGCAATACAATGCAATGCACTGGAATGGAGTGTGATGCAATACCGTAAGGCATGGTGCGGCGTGGCGCGGGACGATACGACAAGATACGATACAAAACGATACTACAAGACAACTACAGTACTACTACGACAACAACGACTACGGCTACGGCTACGACTACTGCCAGGACCAGGACCAAGGCAAGAGCCACTACTACTACGCCCACCGCAACAACAACACGTGCCACTAGTACGACTGACACTACCGTGACGACAACACCAACAACGACGACGACGACTGCCACCGCCACTGCTACTGCTACTGCTACTGTTACTGCCACCACCACTACTACGACTACCATTCCTCTTACGACGTCGACGTCGCCTAGCACTACCAGCGCCACCACGACCCACTACGAACTCGTACTACTGTAAGGTATCACTACCACCACTGCCACCGCGACAACTACGACCGTGAAATGCCACGATCACTGCCATGACGAATATGCCTCCGACGACAGCTGCTACGAATTGATACAGTCTTGCTGCTGGTACTATCAATAAGACAGTTCTTGCTGCCACCACCGAAATCGCACGGTATAAATCATGTCCACGCTCGTTTGGAAAAGCCAACAGCAAAGCCTAGAGTGCAGCCAAGCGGCACATTTGGTTGCAGGCTCCTGGTTTCCGCAAGTCAGCTGCATTTTACAGTCTTGCAGTTTACACTGGATGTCGGGTTCAACCGGGGCAGGCTACCACTCCTACGCGGGGGATTGAAATGGCAGCACAGTCTCAACGCAGCATCACACACAGAAGTCACCTGTTCATCATCAGCATCATCATCATCATCAGCCGTCGTCCTCATCGGCATCATCATCATCACCAACATTGATACCAGCATCAATATCATTCTCCAACCTCAGCCATCATTGAATCCTCCCCAGCCTCGACATCATCACCGTCGTTAAATGCATCATAGGATCAGCGGCATCGTCTTCGCTGTCTTCATCATCAAAATATTCATCATTTCGTCATCATCGCCATAACAGCGTCATCAGCAGCAGCTGCTGCGTTCCCGTCATCACCCTTGATCATCACCACCCTCATCGTTACCTCAACATCATCAAGCCTCGCACCCTGATGCCAGGCATCCGAAAACTCATAAATGGAGTCAAGGGACTGTTCTGGCATGGACTGGAAGTAGCTCAGCGCCCGCTGCCATGCCGACTGCCCTGACACAGACACGACCGGCTTATAGCGTGGAACTACAATGTCCTGCTCCCCATCTGATAAATAAGACAACAATGTCAAAGTCCGGATAGCCGAAAGTCGAACCGGGCGGGTCAAGGCGCTCGGTTTTCACCTGTCCCTAACTCGTACAAGTAGAGATCTTGAAGTGCTCTGGTTGTGGGTTGTTGATAATTGTTGCAGCAGCAGTCGTAGCGGTAGTGGTGGTATTCGTCGTAGTTGTCGTCGCAGTCGCAGCCGTCGTTAGCATTACCTATAGTCTGCTTAGCACACTTCTTGTCATTAATATCATTCGCATTATTCTTATTCTTATTGTGTTGCCACATTGCGGTTACTGATTTTGCTGCTGTTGCTGTTGCTGTTGCTGTTGCTGTTGCTGTTGCTGTTGCTGTTGCTGTTGCTGTTGCTGTTGCTGTTGCTGTTGCTGTTGCTGGTGCTGGTGCTGGTGCT